ACTATTCAAAAAGAGAACAGAGTTTCTCCTGGTGTTCTGGTCATCAGAAATTGAACATTCACTTCATGACTGTCTGTGAGACATTGTTGTATGTAACTTTGGCTGCTTTACAAGCTTGTTTGTTTCTTTCAGGACTGGATAAATATTTTATATATAAAATGTACATAGTTTCCTGGGCTGGTTGAAAGTTGTCCCAACAATGCTACTAAATATGTTTCAGAAAAAGGTAAGAATAGGAACAGCAAAAGGCCAATTAGCCTGTTTGACTAATTTATTAGACCATGGCTAGACAGATACTTGAAAAGGAAACAATTGCAAGGAAGTGGGGAAAGAGCAGGGGAGTGGGACTGATTGGGTAGCTCTTTCAAAGAGGTGGCAGGCATGATGGGCCAAATGGCCTCCTTGTGTGCTGTAATGTTCTATGATTCTATGATAAAATGCTATATCAAATGCAAGGATTATTATTATTATTAAAAAATAATTAAACATCCTGACATCTCCCCACCCAGCTGTCACACATGCACATAACTACCATAGGGTTTTGTAAAGGGAATAGGAGCAGGTGTTTTATTATCTCTGTAACCGAGGAACCATGCATCCCTAGTAAGACCAGTAATATCATCACAGACTTCAATTCAAACAGCAAGCACCTGGTTGGTAATCAACAACTCTATCCATTGCACAATAGGAGCTGCTCCCTCTGGTTTCATTCCTTGTTTAACAAAATAGCTGTGAAGAAATGCCACTCTAGTCTAAATTCACTTAGCATTTCAAAACAGTGGACTGTAGTGGAGTCCTGTAGCTCAGTGGTTAGAGCACTTGCTTTGCAAGCGAGAGAACTGAGTTCAATTCCAGTCAGGGCGAAACCTTGGGCAAGTTTCCTTACTCCACACAGAGCCTAATAATAATCCCTCCAAAAACAAAACAATAATAAATTGGTCATTTTCAATCTACGACTGTTTGTGGGACATTGCTGTGCGCAATTGGCTGCCGCGTTCGCCCACAAATATACAGTCAATTCACTTTACAGTGTATTCTGTGAAGCGCTTTGGGACGTCCTCCCAACGTGAAAAGCGCTATATCAAATGCAAGGATTATTATTATTATTATTAAAACATCCAGGAATTAGGAAATTGTTGAATTTGGCCTTAACTTTAAAGTTGTAGGTTAAAAGAAATTTACAAACAAATGGCTTCAAAATTATGAATGTATTTAAGAAGTTGCCAAATTCGGGGCGCTTTGAATTGCTTACAGGTAGAGTAAGTTTAGACCCAGGTGGAAGTTCTACCCATGCTGCTGGCATGCCTTGTGGAGTCCTGTAGCTCAGTAATTAGAGCACTCGCCTCGTAAGCGAGAGACCTGGGTTTGATTCCTGGCAAAGCAAAATCCTGGGCAAGTTGCCTTACTCCACATGCCTCTGTTTACCTAGCAGTAAATAGGAACCAGTTGTTAGTTGATTGGCAGGTAGCTTTTCCGTGGGTAATAATTCCTTACATTTTTTTTTAATAATTTGGTAATACAATCCATGACTGTTTGTGGGACACTGCTGTGCGCAATTGGCGCCGTGTTTAGCTCACAAAATATACAATCAATTCACTTTACAGTCTATTCTGTGAAGCGCTTTGAGACGTCTCGAAGACGTGATAAATCAAATGCAAGGATTATTATTATTATTATCCCAAGAGCAAGACAATGTTGATGTTGTCCATTCATGTAGTTCCACACTTTTGTATGCTGGGAGTTGCACTTCTCATCAATTACCTCATGGTGTTGCTCCATTACCATGTCCATTTGGTCTGGAAGGGCTTAGTACAAAAAAATTCAAATCTGCCAGTCACCCATTTGGATAATACTGCGTTGCAAAACTGGGATCAAATCTGAAGAATTTCTTAATGGGATTCCTGAACATGGGTCCTTCCTTCCAATACTTAGGAGTACGTCACGCCAATTAACTCGGTTCTAATACAATCTAATTCCAAACTGGAAGTTCCATGGGTCAATTGCTAATTGAATGAGATTCTTTATTAAGACATCCGGGTGAAGAAATCCACAAATTAGACCCCGCTAAGGGTTTGTTTTTACATATATAAATATATATATACATATATACATATATTTATATAGGTAAAAACAAAGCCTTAGTAGGGATGCCAGCAGCATGGTTAGAAATTCCACCTAGGTCTAAATTTGCTCTACCTGTATAGCAATTCAAATAATATACAGTAATTATTATTATGTCATTAAATTGTATTATTATTATTATATAAGGAACTGGACATTCCTTGGATGATTGAGAAGCATAAAATCCATGTAAAGATGAATCGTCCAAGCAAACAGGAGGCATTTGTTTTCAGTCATCTGCACCATCACAATAAACAAATATGCAGACAATATATAGACAAATGCATTCTCATTATACCCATTGAACTCATAAAATCTAGGCTTACACTCCAATGCAATGCTGAGAGTGCACCTCATTGTTGGAGGTGGTGTCCTTTGGATGAGAGGTTAAACCAAGGTTCCTTCTGCCAATTCAGGTGGACATTAAAGATCTTATGGCACTATTTGGAAAGATAGGGAATTTTTCCTCATACCCAAAAATACCCCAAATAAAATTGGACATTCACAACATGGCTGTTTGTGACATTATTGTGTGCAAATTGTCTGCTGTGTTCACCTACAAAACATACATCACTACAGACATTACAGTTTATTCCTGAAGACTTTGAGACATCCTTCCAATGTGAAAAGTGTTATATTAAATGCAAGAATTATTATATTTCTGACAATAACATCGATCAATCCGAGGTAAATGTCACACATATTTCTGCCTTATAAATGGGATGCTACATGCTCCATTCAAGGCATTGATTTGTTTCTGTTCCTTAGTGCAATAAATGCTCAGTCAATACCACATTGAAGATATCTGCCTTCATGTTACAAAGTTATCTTTGGATGGATTAGATTGGCTTCATTGCTGGCAGAACTCATCCCCATTCCTTACAACCATTCCTTGTCTCATCAAAAGAGAGGTATGATCTACCCATCACAACATTAAGCTGGTTCTTAAACAGGTCCAGTATCTTGGCCTCTACAAATCTTCTTGGTAACCAGTTCTAGCTATTAATTACCCACTAGTGAAATAAAGACTTCCTGGTAACAAAAACAGAAGTCGCTGGGAACACTCAGCAGGTCAGGCAGCATCTATGGAGAAAGGAAAGTGAGTCAACGTTTCGGGTTCGCAATCCTTCGTCAGAACTGACCCAAAATGTTGATTCACTTTCCTTTCTCCATAGATGCTGCCTGACCTGCTGAGTTTTCCCAGCGACTTATGTTTTTGTTTTCCGATTTCCAGCATCTACAGTATTTTGCATTTTGTAAATACTTCCTGGTAACTGTTTTAAACTTTCCTTTCACAACTCTGAGCCTGGATCCTCTTGTTCTCTTAACATGCCAAGTATTGTTTTGAAATTACTTTCTCAACCCCATTTTGCACCTTACATACTTATATAAGGTCCCATGTGAAACATTTATTTTCAAGGATGAAAACCCATGGGTTATAAATTCCATTCAGCCTTAAATTCAGTGTCTTTGCCAATGTGAGAATCCCATTAAAGGCTGAGATTGTTAAAGGTAATGTGTATAACACTAAACTGAATTTTTATCTCCAAGTTAATTTATCTAGTTGTTTTTCAACTAGAAAACAGTTATTCTCTTGGCAGCCCACTTACATCACCATGATCAGAACTTTATACGACACTACAACAAGTTACATTTATATAGCACCTTTCATGTTTGGACAATGTGTCAAAGAGCTTCAACATCTAACTGGGTGCCCTTGCTCAGGGTTAGGCAAACTGAGAAGTCCAAAAGCAGAAAGATAGGTCTTAAAGCAGGCTTTAAATGTGGAGAGGAAGGGAACGAGTTGCAGCCTGACCAGACAGAACACTGAATGGCTAAGCAGGGTCTTGTCATTCTGCAACTATTTGCACAACGTTGCTGATATTTTAAGCATTGAATGGTAATCTATCTTGTCCTGTAATGTCTTGTAATAAAATGCTCTGAATTTTAAAGCATTTACAATTCACAATGTTTTATGACTCAGTTTGTAAAAGAACCAACAAGGGGAAATAACTTCTTGGATTTGATAATGAGTAACAGGGATGACCACATCTCCAAAATAAAGGTGAGAGAAGCATTAAGCAACAGCGGTCACAATGCAGTCACATTTGACATCACAGAGTTGGTGAGTTTCTAAAGACCGAAACAAAACTGCCAAATTTCAAGAGGACTGACTTTGTGCGCTTGAGAAACCTAGTCAGAGTGGGCTTGGCAGGCTTAAATATAGCAATGGGAGTGGAGGACCTATGGAGTTTCTTCAAGGAGGTGATTATGAAGGCAATCGAACAATGTGTATTCATGCGAAGCAAAGGTACCAAGCTTAAAGGCACTCCTGCCTGGTTGGCCAGGGCTACAAACAACAACAACAAAATTACATTTGTAAAGCGCCCTTCACGTTGGCAGGACGTCCCAAAACGCTGGACAGACAGAGTTACGGACCCAAGCTGGGGGTTAGGGTCAGGGAGGGTGGAGGGCAGGGGGCGGAAGCAGGGAGATCGAAAGCACGGTCGAAGAAGAGGGTCTTGCGATGGGTCTTGAAGGTGGCAAGGGAGGGGGCAAGGCGGAGGGACTGCGTGTTGGAGTTCCAGAGGATGGGGCAGTCGTGGCATGCTTTCTGGTATTGCATGTCTTCTTTATAAACCAAATCATAAAGAGGAATAAAGAAGCATTTAAGGCCATGAAGGAAAATGGCACAGAAATAAGTCGGACTCAATACCAGAAGGCATGCCAGGACTGCAAAAAAGGCGGCAAAGAAAACCATTGAATTGAAAATGGCAAGAGGTGTGAGGGATAATAACAAAATGTTTTTTAGTTACATTAAGAGTAGAAGAAAAACAAGCAATGGAATAGGACCACTGAAGGTGCGTTCAGGAGACAACATGACAAATAACGCTACACAGGCTACAAATAAGTTGCTAAATAAGTTTTTTGCATCAGTCTTTACCAAGGAGAAGACAGATAACCTATCTGATCTGGAAAGAGAACTCAAGGAAGTGTCAGAGAAAAGTTGTGACACTATTCATATCATTACCAGCATGGTTGCCAAACAGCTGTGTAAACTTAAGGTAAATAAACCTCAGGGGCCGGATAAATTGCATCCGAGGATCCTTAAGGAACTAAGGAAGCAAATTGCAGAAACGCTGGCACAAATCTTTCAAAAATCACTGAATACTGGAGAGAGGTGATTGGAGAGAGGCAGATGTTACTCCTACTTTTAAGAAAGGTAACAAAAGTGACCCAGGACACTACAGACTAGTAAGTTTGACTTCCTTTGTGGGTAATATTATGGAGACTCTTAAGGATAAAATCATGGAGCATCTGGACAGAAATAAAATCATAAATTATAATCAATATGAGTTCATGAAGGGAAGGTCTTGCCAATCTAATTTACTGTTTTTCTTTGACAGTGTAACAAGGGAACTTGATAAGGATAAGACTGTGCATGTTGTATATCTGGATTTCAGTAAGGCCTTTGATACAGTTCCTCTTGAGAGGCTGGTACTGAAAGTAAAGAAAGCAGGAATCAGTGGAGGTATATTACAATGGATACACAATTGATTGACCACAGAACCCAAAGGGTGGTGGTACAGGGAATATCATCAGATTGGGAAAATGTTACCAGTGGAGTTCCACAAGGGTCCGTTTCAGGGCCTCTTTTGTTCAATATTTTTACAAATGATCTGGAACTAGGAGTCATAAGCACAGTGACTAAGTTTGTAGATGACACCAAGCTAATGAAAGTGGTAGATTGCGAAGCTGAACAAGATAGGTTACAGGAGGATTTGAACATACTTGGGAATTGGGCAGATCAGTGGCAAATGAAGTTCAATGGGAAGAAATGTAAAGTACTTCACATGGGTACAAAAAATCCTGAAAGGCACTATTATTTGAATGGAAGTAAAGTAATATGTATGGAAAATGTAAACGACTTGGAGGTCCTGATTGACAATAAATTGAAGCTCTCCCAACAATGCTCTGTGACAGTGAGTAAAGCAAACCAGATGTTGGGATGTATCAAAAGATCAATAGCAAGCCAAAATAGTGGAGTAATCCTGCCGCTGTATAAAACATTGGTGAGACCTTACTTAGAGTACTGTGTACAGTTCTAGTCGCCGCAGTACAAAAAGGATATTGGAGAAATCCAGAAGATAAGAGGAGGGCAACTAAAATGATCGAGGGAATGGAAGTACTGGACTGTGAAGAGCGACTAGGTAAATTGGGCATGTTCCCGCTGGAAAAGAGAAGATTGAGAGGTGACATGATTGCCGTCTTTAAGATTCTAAAGGGGCAAAACAATATAGGTCATGACAGACTGTTTCAACTTGTCAAGAATAGTAAAGCCAGAGGACATGGCCTGTGATTGAAGGGGGGTAAATTCAGAAGAAATCTACCCAAACACTATTTCAGTGAGTGAAATATGTAATATATCCCATAATGTTATTTCCTGTTCACTTGCTTGGATTAAATGATTGAATGGGGTAAGGAGGAATGGTAGGAGTTGTACTAGATCTATTCCAGATTCAGGACAACCTATAGTATGTTGAACCTCACTTTGTAAGCACTTCAATAAGAGAGAAAGATTTCCGGCATCTGCAGTATTTTACATTTTTTTCAATAAGAGGGCAACTCACTATTTAGGTTACTTTTTCGCATCAGTTCCGATATTTGTAAATATTTGTAAAAACAAATATGGGTTTGACGATTTCAATGCATGTTTGCACTTTATTATAGATTATTATACAGATTATAATTGTGTTTCTTTCATTTGAAATTGATGGAAGCCAAAATTCCAAACTAACAAATTAGGAGATGGATACAGTATAAACTTCACTTTAACTATGAGTTTCAACTGCACTGCAGCTAACCTATATACATTAAAGAATATTTTTAAAGAAGTATTTATAATTCATACTGATAAATACCCCAGTGATAGCAATTCATTATTTTTCATTGTGGGTGAACTCTTGAGTTGGTTCTCTATCTATATATAAATTGTATATTTTTATTTTTCTGTCTTTTTTTGTGGGGGAGGGGGGGTGGGTGGAATTTTATGCTTTGAAATCGATTTGCAAAACTTTCAAAATGCATGTCTTTCACTGAGCTCACGATCAGCGATTGTTTTTTTTTTTAAAAATGCTTGGAAACTTTTTAAAAAATTGCAAATTCCCGAATCTTGAAGGTTTTGCAAATCAAAGCAAAGCAAAGCAAACCACAGGAGGAAAGCCTGGACCAGTGTGTGAGTGAGTATGTGTGTGTGTGTGGTTGGGGGGGGGGGGGGGATGTAAAGGGAGTGGGGTGCTCGGGCTGGGTGTTTGCCTGGCAGGGCAAGGTAGGGCTGGGTGTTTCCCTGGCAGGGCAGGGGAGGGCAGGGTGTTTGCCTGGCAGGGCAGGGCTGGGTGTTTGCCTGGCAGGGCAGGGCAGGGCTGGGTATTTGCCTGGCAGGGCAGGGCTGGGTGTTTGCCTGGCAGGGCAGGGCAGGGCAGGCAGCGCAGGCAGGGCAGGGCAGGGTGTTTGCCTGGCAGGGCAGGGCAAGGTGTTTGCCTGGCAGGGCAGGGCAGGGTGTTTGCCTGGCAGGGCAGGGCAGGGCAGGGTGTTTGCCTGGCAGGGCAGGGCTGGGTGTTTGCCTGGCAGGGCAGGGCAGGGTGTTTGCCTGGCAGGGCAGGGCAGGGCAGGCAGCGCAGGCAGGGCAGGGCAGGGTGTTTGCCTGGCAGGGCAGGGCAAGGTGTTTGCCTGGCAGGGCAGGGCAGGGTGTTTGCCTGGCAGGGCAGGGCAGGGCAGGGTGTTTGCCTGGCAGGGCAGGGCAGGGCAGGGTGTTTGCCTGGCAGGGCAGGGGAGGGCAGGGGAGGGCAGGGCAGGGTGTTTGCCTGGCAGGGCAGGGCAGGGTGTTTGCCTGGCAGGGCAGGGCAGGGTGTTTGCCTGGCAGGGCAGGGCAGGGTGTTTGCCTGGCAGGGCAGGGTGTTTGCCTGGCAGGGCAGGGCAAGGTGTTTGCCTGGCAGGGCAGGGCAGGGTGTTTGCCTGGCAGGGCAGGGCAGGGCGTTTGCCTGGCAGGGCAGGGCAGGGTGTTTGCCTGGCAGGGCAGGGCAGGGTAGGGCAGGGTGTTTGCCTGGCAGGGCAGGGCAGGGTGTTTGCCTGGCAGGGCAGGGCAGGGCAGGGTGCCTGGCAGGGCAGGGCAGGCAGGGCAGGGTGTTTGCCTGGCAGGACAGGGCAGGGCAGGGTGCCTGGCAGGGCAGGGCAGGGTGTTTGCCTGGCAGGGCAGGGCAAGGTGCCTGGCAGGGCAGGGCAGGGCAGGGCAGGGTGCCTGGCAGGGCAGGGCAGGGTGCCTGGCAGGGCAGGGCAGGGTAGGGTGGAGTCTGGCAGGGCAGGGCAGGGCAGGGCAGGGTACCTGGCAGGGCAGGGCAGGGCAGGGTGCCTGGCAGGGCAGGGCAGGGTAGGGTGGAGTCTGGCAGGGCAGGGCAGGGCAGAGCAGGGTACCTGGCAGGGCAGGGCAGGGCCGGGTGCCTGGCAGGGCAGGGCAGGGCAGGGTGGAGTCTGGCAGGGCAGGGCAGGGTGCCTGGCAGGGCAGGGCAGGGCAGGGTGCCTGGCAGGGCAGGGCAGGGCAGGGTGCCTGGCAGGGCAGGCAGGGCAGGGCAGGGTGCCTGGCAGGGCAGGGCAGGCAGGGCAGGGCAGGGTGCCTGGCAGGGCAGGGCAGGGCAGGGTGGAGTCTGGCTGCTGTATAAGTGGCTCTGGGCTCAGACCCTCCGCAGTCAGTCAGTCAGTAGTGGAAGCCGAGGGGAAGCCGCACGTTTGCTCGGCAGCAGAGACCTCTCCCCGCGCCCTGCCATGCGAGCGGAGCTGCTGCTCTCCGGGCTGTGGCTGCTGCTGGTGCCGGCCCTGGCCGGGCAGAAGCGGGTCGCGGCGCGCTGCCCGCCCTGCCAGCCCGGGCAGTGCCCGCCGCTGCCCCCCGAGGGCTGCCCGCGGGGGCGGCTGTCGGACCGCTGCGGCTGCTGCTCGGTGTGCGCCGCCGGTCCCGGGGAGCCGTGCGGCGGCCGCGAGGGCAAGTACGGCCGCTGCGCCCGAGGCTACGAGTGCGAGCGCCCCGGCGGCCCGAGGGGGAAGGGGGGCAAAGGGCGGTGCGTGTGCAAGTCACCCGACCCCGTGTGCGGCAGCGACGGCGTCTCCTACAGCGACGGCTGCGACCTGCGAGCGGCGGCCAACCGAGCGCTCAGGGAGGGGCGGACCACCGTGAGCAGGAGAGGGAAAGGCGGCTGTGATACAGGTGAGCGACACACACACCATATACACCACACACACCATATACACTGCACACACCGTATACACCATATACACTGCACACACCATATACACCATATACACCACACACCATATACACTGCACACACCATAAACACCACATACACACACACCATATACACTGCACACACCGTATACACCATATACACCACACACCATATACACTGCACACACCATATACACCATATACACCACACACCATATACACTGCACACACCATATACACCATATACACCACACACCATATACACTGCACACACCATATACACTGCACACACCATATACACTGCACACACCATATACACCACACACCATACACACCACACACACCATATACACCATATACACCACACACCATATACACCATATACACCACACACCATATACACCACACACACCATATACACCACACACACCATATACACCACACACACCATATACACCACACACCATATACACCACACACCATATACACCACACACCATATACACCACACACCATATACACCACACACCATATGCACCACACACACCATATGCACCACACACACCATATGCACCACACACACCATATGCACCACACACACCATATGCACCACACACACCATATGCACCACACACACCATATGCACCACACACACCATATGCACCACACACACCATATGCACCACACACACCATATGCACCACACACACCATATGCACCACACACACCATATGCACCACACACACCATATGCACCACACACACCATATGCACCACACACACCACACACACCATACACACCACACACACCATACACACCACACACACCATACACACCACACACCATACACACCACACACACCATACACACCACACACACCATACACACCCACACACACCATACACACCACACACACTATATACACCACACGCTATATACACCACACACTATATACACCACACACTATACACACCACACACTATACACACCACACACCATACACACCACACACCATACACACCACACACCATACACACCACACACCATATACACCACACACCATATACACCACACACCATATACACCACACACCATATACACCACACACCATATACACCACACGCCATACACACCACACGCCATACACATCATATACACACACACCATATACACACACACACCAACCACACACACCATACACATCACCCACACACCATACACACACGCACACACCATACACACCACCCACACACACACACATCACACACACCACCCTCTGCCACACACACACACACACACCATACACACCACCCCCCCACACACACACTATACACACCACCCTCTGCCACACACACACCACCCACACACACCACCCTCTGCCACACACCACCCACACACACCACCCTCAGCCAACTCACATACACACACACTGCCCTCTGCCACACACACCATACACACCACCCCCCCACACACACTATACACACCACCCTCTGCCACACACACACCACCCACACACACCACCCTCTGCCACACACCACCCACACACACCACCCTCAGCCAACTCACACACACACACCACCCTCAGCCAACTCACACACACACACACACACATGCACCACACACACTCTGCTCTCTGCCAACTCACACACACCACACATACACCACCCTCTGCCAACTCTCACACACAACACTCTCTGCCAACTCTCACACACACAATACCCTCTGCCAACTCTCTCTCACACACACACACATACATAGTGCCCTCTGCCAACTCACACATGCAATCACAGAGAATAGCAATCACTGTATCACCTCTTACACACCTTATACTGTATGTGGAGAACTAACCCAGTCAGTCATCCCAGAGAAACTGTAGAGTGGATCATCTCTAATACAGTTTAAATAGTTAGAGAACTAACTCAGAGAGTATATACAGTGTCGCCTCTTACACAGTTTAGAGAGAACCAAATCAGTCAACACATAGCATGTGTAAACTCTATCACCTCTTAGACAGTTTATATATGGAGAACTAACTGGGAGCTTAATCCCAGGGAAAGCACACAGAGTGTCATCCCTTGTGTATGGATAGAGAGAACCAAATATGTCAACACATAGAGTATGTGGAGTCTATCACCTCTTATACAGTTTATATATAGATAGAGAAACAACTCAGAGTTAACTGATCGAGAGAGTGAGAAATTCAAGTCTTAGAGAGACTGAGCATGTCAGCACATTGAGAAAGTCAACGCAGAGAATTGACACATTGAGAGAGTGAGAGAGTCAGTACTTAAGGAAACTGAGTCAACTCATTGAGACAGTCAACTCATTGAGAGAGTTAACTAATAGAGAGAGTTAACTCATTAAGAGACTGAGAGTCAACTCATCGAGAATCAACGCTTAGAGAGTGAGTCAATGACAAAGAGAGAGACAACTCTTAGACAGAGCAAGTCAACTCATAAAGAGTGAGCTCATAGAGAAAGACAAGTCCTGGAGAGAGTGAGAGAGTTAGCTCATTCACAAAGCAAGGTCCTACTCATAGAGAATCAACTCAGAGAGAATGAGAGTCACTCATAGAGAGAGTCAACTAATAGAGGCTCATACAAAGAATGAGAGGTAACTTAGAGTCAACCCCTTGAGAGAACATTAGAGTGAACTCCCAGAGGGAGCGTGAGAGTAAACTCAGAGACAGTAAAATCATAGAGACAGCCAACTCACGGAGAGATTGAGAGTTAACCCGTGGAGATAAACAAGTCAGTTTTACTCACCTTATGGAGAGAGACCCAACTCATTGTCAGTTATCTTCAAGATAGAAACATTTGCTTCATAAAGTCATTTCATGGAGAGAATTTCTTCATAAAGAGCATTACTTCATAGCAAGACTCACTTTATAGTCACTTCATAGCGAGAGAGCGAATTACCTCAAAAACTCATCTGAGAAATAGCCTGTGTGAACATATAGATATTAACCACATACCTGCTCACTAAGAAAAGTCACATGCTCAAGAGTGAGAGGGAGATGGAGTGTTAGTTAACAGAAATTCACCTTTTTGAGTCACCTCTTAGCCACTTCACAGAGAGTAATCTCATGGAGAGAAAATATCGCCTCAGAGAAAATTCATACAAACTAATTTCAGAGAGTTGGAGAGGAACTCCCATTGTGGAGAGAAACTCATAGAAATTCTACCTGGTTTTCTCTATTTCCTTAGTAATTTAAGCCTCCAGAAACTGATCAGTAACTCGCCTCATACAGAGTTTTTGTCCAAAAAGAGAGAACCTCAACTCCTTCAGTGAGTTACTTCATGAAGACTCAGTTCAGACTGTGAAGTTCATCGAAAGACAGAGAAATTACAGAGAGCTAGAGACTGATATTTATTTCATAAACAGTGAGTGACTTCATAGGGGGAGTCTTTAACAATATAGTGAGAAAGAGACTGTTGCATTATAGAAAGGGACTATTATACCATAACAAGACTGTTACTTCATAGAGACTTTCACACCAGTGAGAGAGACTGTTACTTGACAAAGAAATAAGACTGCCACTTCATAGAGAGAGAGTAATCATAGAGAGACAACGTTACTTGATGAAGACAAGAAGACTGTTACATCGTGGAAAGAGATAATTACATCATAGAGAGTGTCACCTCATAGAGACAGAAGATGCCACTTCATATGGCTAACAGAGTCTAAAGGAAATATCCTTGCAATGCATTGGATGTGCATTATGTATTCTAGATGTACTGCGGTTATTAATTATGACACGTGCAAACTATACAGAAATATAGTTGAAATAAGTTAACACAAACTGTACTTAATATCAATATGGAGATATATCCCTGGACAATGCACCCTAGGTTCCTATAGTTATACAAAATGTGCATCTGACACTGAACTGGATTCAAGGCAAGTATCCCAAAATGAGGCTGGTGTGTACATTTCTGTGGCATTACTGTAAATCAGTCACATTAATAAAACCCATGACAGTACTGCAACAATACACATTTATGTGTTTATTTTCAAATGTAATGAAGATTGCATTTGACCTTAATAAAAATGTGGCATCTGCTGTCATCATGATGAACGATTTGTGTTTATGAGAAAGGAATTCAAACAGATGGTAACAGTGGCTTTTGATGCACAAAAATAAATCGCTACACTGGCTTTATTAAACAAAGATTTCAGAAGGGAAACGGGAGTTTGCTGCTGAACATTCTTTGACATTGGAATATGACAAAACATGCAAAATCGATTTTAAAACATTCTTTAACACGATTAACACACTACTATTAACAAGCATTTATAATTGTCAGAGCAGATAAACAGAATGTTCGGCCCATCATGTCAGTGCTGGTATTTTTCTCCACATAAACCACTTGATGTAATCCCATTCTCTTGCTTGTCCCCATTCGTTATTCAAACATTCAACTAATTCTCTTCTAAAAGAATTTATGGGCTCTGCCTCGACAAGTTTTCTTTGCAACAAAACATACACACGTTCAGCATGAAAATACAGCTAGCATTATATCCTTGTTGAACTCCCAGATTATTGGCTCCAAAAGCACTTTTGTGTTGCTGGATCCATAGGAAATAAAACGGCTCATCCAAAGTCTTCTGAGCATTCTGAATAAAAAAACTCAGAAATATCCAAAACCTGAAAATTAACAGCAAGAAGTTATTAGTTTGGGTAATTTCTGAATGCATTATTTGAGAAGTAATAATATTATAATAATAACACTCCTAGCATTTGATATAGCGCTTTTCACGTCTTCTAGATGTCTCAAAGCGCTTCATAGAATAGACTGTAAAGTGAATTGACTGTATATTTGTGGGCGAAATGCGGCAGCCAATTGTGAACAGCAGTGTCCCACAAATGCACTGAGATATATTATCCCCAAAGCACTTAACATTGTTACTTCCACATAGTGAAGCTATTGCTTGTGTATTGAATGAAAGAATGATTGTGTGGAATCCCTCAAAATGTCATG